TGTCATCTCTTTCTCTGCCTCTTGGACAAACTCTTTCACATCTTTCTCTCTCTAACTTGTCCTCTTGTGTGGAATTCGTGAGTCTTCAACTTCGTTGATTCTTTGGCCTTTTCTCTTCAAATTATAGATGGGTGTATGTCCTCTTTCCACTTGCGAGATTTACAGCTCTTATTTGATCTCTAAAATACGTTCACATTCATACAATGCACGTGCCCTTTTTCCACTTACACGAAACATCACCAAACAAAAACGCATCTTAAATTGACAACAATATCCTCTACGGAAAACAAGCGGGACCCATGAAGATAACAACCAATGATACGCCCTCCAACTTTTTGTGAATGCCCAAATAATCCTTCATAAAAATGGAGGCGATCGTGCCCTTGCCCAATCCGATTTTTGAAAAATGGGAACACGACTCGAATCGGAGGTCCAAATCAGAAGATTAGTAGGTTAGACTAGGCTACATGTGCATAAAGAGAATTTAGGCGACTTGGGGATGAGGCATGTCCTTTTTTATCTCAATCGGTATCGAGCGATTCTGAGCTGGGGATGAGATATTTGCCTCTTGATTTCAATCAATATCACGCGATTCTGAGCTGGATTGTCGATTTTTCGAATCCTAACCCAAACGATATAAAGATTAATGGCAGGGTGGTAATACAAAAACCATGATTACTTTAAGATGTTACAGCTAATTACATATGAAGAAATAAGAGGAAAATTGAACCCTCTCTCTCTCTCTCTTGGGTACACATGCATGGGCAGGTGTGAAATGACACATACAATGGGTGCATGTCCCCACAGGTGTACCCCATAAAGGACTTTGCAGTGGAGTTTAGGGCCAATATGCAGTTGTAGGGCATTTGGGACACTGTTTGCTACATGATGTATGTGACCAGCATACATTACTTAACCTTGTCATTGTCATTGGCTTAAGGGTGTCTGCTTAGGGGTCCCATCTCACAACTACCTCCACAGAGCTCTATACACCAATGGGTCTTCTATACCTATGTTTGAACTATAAATGGCATCCAAAAAAAGGGGCACACTTACATTTGCAAACTTCTCTTGGATCCTTTGCCAGGTTCGAGGCACCATTGCTTATGGAAAAGATATGAGAAAACTATAACAAAATGATAACTTTATTTGCTTCAACATTTTGGCTCATTTTCGCTTTGGCTTTTCCCCCTTTTTGTTAGCAAAAAAAAAACAGATGCGCCTAAACACAACGGCTTTCGCACTAATGTTAGATGCGTGTAAATGCAACGGCTTTCGCACTAATGTTAGATGCGTGTAAATGCAACGGCTTTCGCACCAATGTTATTTCTCTTCGTCTCTCTCACACTGTAGAGAGATCAAAAATAGAGGAGAATTTGAAAATTTTGAGAGAGAAAGAGTTGCATCCTCCAACTCCTTTTGGCACCAATAAATTTACCCACCAACAACAATCTAGTGCTCGTGACTTAAATTCTAAAATTAATTCACCAATTAATTATCCACAAAAGTATTAAATACTAACTCCTTTTAGGGCTTTCCTTCCTGTGGAGGGATTAGAATAACCAGATGAGTTGCCATAAAGGCCTCTTAAATTTTGACCATTTTAGAAAGCAGCCCTTTCACCCATGGGGTAAAATGACATTTCCCTGTTCAAGCGATGACTTAATCCAGTATTCATGGTTACGTTAAAGGCTCCCTACATTGCTGACATGTGGCGTTCCCTAAAACAAAGTGCCTCTTATTTCCCCACCCACCCCAAAGTTCTTCTTGTATTGTAAAATTGACCTTTCCAATCCACCAATTTATTTTGTTTTTTTTGTTTTTTTAAATGTATTTATACTTGTATGATGCTATTGTTATAAGGTCACTATACCTTCTATTTTAGTGGGACGGTATAGATTTTAAATATTTTTTAAGATAATATAAAAAAGTGACGCTTTTGTTAAAAATTAATGTATAAAAAAAGATAAGTGGTTCAAATGCTAACAACCCGTTTAGATTAGAATCGGCCATTAACCGGTTTTGGTTTCGGCTGGTTTTGGCGAACCGGCCAGATATTTAAAATATATATATATAATCTCAAAAAATAAAGAATTTTGTTTGTAATATATTTTTTAATGTTTTTTTTATTATTTTGCCAAAGATGGAAAAAAAAGTTTTCCATTAATATTTATTTTATATTTTTTAGAAAATTTGAAAATTATCTCTAGGCACAATTCATTAAAATCCATTTTTCATTAATTTTAAACTTCATTTGGATGTGCTTTGTTTAATCATGCTTTAAATATGCTTTTTATATTTCATTAAAAAAAATTAACACTTCTTTGATTGCCCGGGAGTTGTCTAGTTATACCGATTGAACCGGCCGGTTTACCGGTTAGGTTGGTTGAACAGCTTCCAATCCCACGTCTAGTTAACTATTTCTGGTTCGATTTTTCCTACATTGGTTAAAATATTGTTAGATCTACACTATCCAAATAAAATAGTTTGTGAGGATCACTATAACCCTATTTCTACAAATAAAGTTTATATATGTATGTACTTTTACCTTCAAGGTACCCTATATTACATGAAGATTCATAAAAAAAAATTGTAACTGCATTTAGAACTTAACCTCAATTCCAATAGTCTTGCTTGATTGACGGTTGAGGTACCATGGAGCTCAAGGGTTTGTACCCCATCCTTTTCAATTGAGGGGAGAAGAAACAAAAAGGCTTTTGTACAAATGACAACAATGTCAAATTTGGCGGGAATAAACCACACCGAAACTTTTCAAATGTGAGAACAGCTGAGTGGAATATATGCGATTTTCAAGGGAATTTTCGTTGTTGTGAAAAAGGAAAAATTTCTCAAAAAGTATCCATGGAAATTACCGAAATACATATAAGAGATCAATTATTTAACAAATTACCCATATTGTTTAATTTAATTTTAAAATACCCATCAAAATATATATAACCAAGTGTTTGAATAGTTGATAGTAACGGTTAAATTGTTAAAATGCAAAGTTGATTTTGGTAAATTTCCTAAAAATAAAAAAATAGAAAGTACATAGTGAAAATTTGGAAAAAAAAAAAAAAACTTTTACGAAAGAAAATGATATTTCCTCTCTGAACTACTAATAGAAATGGTACATGGTGCATGGATTGATTAATGGGTAGCCACTTACACTTGATGGATATTTAAATATATAAATGTTAGATCTTCGATACACAATTTATTAAAAAAAAATATTCATGATTGTGGAGGTCAATATTATAGCCCTTTAGAATTTTGGACTGAGAATTGATTTTTGAAGGTAAGCACATGCATCCATTGACATTCGCCCTAACATCACCTTTTGTATGAGGGGAAAACTTCACATATACTGTCATCCACACATAAAACATGTGACCCGTGTTCCCAGCCATTTGATTTGACTAAATCGTTGGGATAGCTTCAGTCATAATGTTAAGCCTAAATATTGTTGTATTGTTAATTTTTTTATTAATCAGTGCCGTTACCATTGGGCTACACCTAACAAACAATTAAAAAGAAATTATATAGTTTTTATTAAAATCATAAAAATAACTCTCGGGTAAAATCTTCTTTTGTCAAGTGCCCCCCCCCTCTCCTGTGAGTGCAATCCCCCAAATTTCAATATAAAATGTTTTATAAAATGAAAATAAAAAATAAATACTTGAGTCATTTGATCAATATCACTGGATCAAAATCTAACTTGTGAGTTGTGACATTATGCCGGCAGTTAATTTCAATAGAAAATATTTTATAGAATAAAAATAAAAAACTTGGAGTCTTAGGTCCTTATGACACTATACCAGCAGTAATACCAACCGTCGATTCTCATAGATGTGCCATATGTAGGTGGGGGTACCTTGTAAAATTTCCATCAAGGGCTTTAGCATATTCAACTTCACAGCTCATTGCCTAACAAACTTCTAAAGCACGACAACCAATTTTCTTTTAAAAGGCTTAGGTTTTATGAAAACAAAATAAAGCTTGACTTCAAATTCTTGGAAATCGCTTTTCGATTATGAAAATCTTTATGATGGTTCTAAAATCAATTTCCAACATTAAACTATGATTCTTCAAATTTTTATGTTCAATCGTAAATTTGTTGTTGCTTGGATGAAGAGCCTAATTTTGCGGTTAAATATTTACTAGGATATTTTAGTCCCTCTCCAAAAAAATGCCAGAGCTTATTTTTCCATTGCAAAAGGCACCCCAAGGTAAAGATCTAATAAGTTCAGACCGTGCATGCTACGCTCCCGATGGAGCATAGTTAACTTCTCCCTATGACGAGGACTGTTTGAATTAAACTTTGGCAACCAACTAATCATTAGATAAATACTTTCATAAGAAAAAAATTTAAAATTAGAGTTATCAATAAAATTCAAAATTTGAATAATTTAAAACCTAAGAACTCACCACTCAAAAAACTAGACTGTTTATATTCAATTTAGGAAATTTATTTTAACGAGGTTTGATATCCCAAATTTTTGAATAAAATTAATCCTAGGTGGGATTTTACTTGAGGAAGCAAATGAACAGTACACTCCCCAAGGTGTAGAATATCGATCTATGTCATTTTGGAAAATTTGAGGCTTTTTATGAGACAATTGGAAACACAAAGCAAAAAGCAAGACAAAATGATGAGGTTACAAAAATAGGCGGGAGTTTAGTCAAAAAAATGACCACAAATTATTGGCAACATCCACCTGGTTTTTGTACTTACCGTGCCCTTAAAGAAAAACAAAAGTCCCGAGGGACTGCAAGATGTGAATGCGCGCTCATCTCTCAACACCATCATTTTCAAATTAGAGAGAGAGATGATCACATAGATTTACAGAGAGAAAGAGATTGATTACGAGATTGATGACATAGAGTTAGAGAGAGATATATTGATTACATAGACTTAGAGAGAGAAAGAGATTGATTATATAAAGTTAGAGAGAGAGAGAGAGAAACAACCCTGAGTTGAAGTTGTCTAGAGAGAGAGATTTGGTCAAATTGTAACTTTCCAAGATCAAAGTTTGAACACATCATTTCAAAATTAGAGAGGGCGTGAGATAACATTGAGCTGGCTCCGTACTACCACTAAATGGACTGAAGTAGAGAGAGAAAGAGATTTAGAGAGAGAAACATTCATCCTCCATGAGAGAGAGACAGAGAGAGATCGATCTTCCAACACCATCATTGCAAAATGAAATCATTGATCCCAAACCCTTCCTGTTGCAGATCTTCCCATGTTAGTATTTCAAAACTTTTGAGCTTCCCCCCAAAAACTACAGACATTTCCCTGGTCCACTTTGACCACAGTGATCATGAATTCCCCCATCTCACTCACCTAACCCCACCATTAACATTCTCTCTCTATTCACCATGGCAACAAATCCAACCCCACCTACTCCAAATTGAATACCTTGCAAAATTTTGCAGTCACCACTGCAACTATGTATCAGTCCAAGCTGCGAAAACTGGTATGTGTGCCATTGGAATTGAAGGCCTCCATGTACTTATAGGGGCTGAGCCCATGAATTTTGGCTTTGAGAAGATCATAGACAATCCATTGCTCTTATCAGGGCTCCCCTGCCTCGGGTCCTCACCTCCGCTGCTGCCCAAACTTGTAACCATCGACGAGCTGTTTGATAAATGGCTCATAAACCTGTTTGAATCTTCGATTCTCTCACCTGAATTCAAACTGTCCATTGTGACTATATCATGCAAATTTGAGGAGAGATATGGGTTTCTGTAGCTAATGAGCTTCTGATCGAGCTTCTGGACAGTAGAGGCTTGGCTGGTGCTTCCATCAGGGATACTTGGGTCCCCCACGCTATTTTGCCTGCATATGATTGCCTGGTTCTCGTCAATGCGTTCATGGGTCTCCCTCTCTAGAGTTTCCCTCTCTTGGGTTTCTCTGCCTTTGATCCTCTTAGCTTGTTCTCCAGCCAGAAGGGTGTTGCTTGCTGTGATTCTCTCTACATCGTAGCGTGAGATGTCAAAGTTTGTCACTGCATTCACACCCCTAAATTTGATTGCAGCTATGTCGTACGCCTCGGCCGCTTCCTCTTGAGTACCTAAATTATCAGCAACACAGAAATTTTTCTCGTCATTGATCCCTCCCTCACTCATCCATGTAAAGCTCCATTGTTATGTTTTTTTTTTAATATGTTTAACAGTCCTATTGTCATGTTTGTGTGCTTTTCACTGATAAGAATCAAATCAGTGAAAAACAGCTTAATCACTCATTTCACTTTTGAAAAAGTCTCTCTTTCTCTCTCTCCCTTTCTCTCTCTCTAGTAGTGTTTCCTGATAGAGAACACAAGAACAAGGATGTTTTCCATCAATTAACTATTTATACTGTTGGATTTTTTCCATCATTGACACGGCTATATACAGCCTATAAAAAGGAAGAATTTAATTATATAGATACACGAGTTTTTCATAATCAGATTTAAGAATTGAGTAATTAATTGAGATTATGCAGAGGGCATGGTAACCTTAGGAATGTCTCGGTATATTAGCATACCGAATGCCCATGAAGAACTCAATGAAACAAAACAAAGGCGAAGTATTCATTGATTGATTTTAATTTGACGAAACGGAACTTACTAAAGGTTCCAAGGTAGAGATCTTTGTTTCCTGCAACTCTGCCTATTCGAGCCTGCCATCTCCCATGCTGATGATGCCTGTACAATAGAAATACCCATTAAGTCTCTCTCTCTCTCTCTCTCTCTCTCTTC